TGACTGACTCCCTACACTGTGCAGGGAAACTCTATCCCTGAGGAAGGAGCCTCCCTTACCAACTCACCCATAGACAGTTGTTTGCTGGCTGCCTGATCCCTGCCCAGGCTAAAGCCAGCCGAAAGACTGTTGCTTGCTGGGAGCCTGAGCCTCTTCAAGCCCAGGACCCAGTTCCCCTAAAGACTGTTTTGTTGCTGGCTGCCTGAGCCTCTTCAAGCGCAGGCACCAGCCCACTGATAGACTGGTTGTTTGCTGGCTGCCTAAGCTCCGCCCAGGCCACAGCCTGCCCTGATAGACTTTGTTTAAGGGCTGACAGTTTGAACCACCCAAACCCAGGCTAAAGCCTGACAGTGACTATTGATCGCCCAGCCCTATTGTGGGCTCTTGGTTGTCCTGTGGACTCTGGTCCTGGCCAGACAGAACCAGCCTGAGTGGTCTCCCTCTGAGCGGGAGAGCAAGGGACCACTACACACCTTTTAGCAACCAGGTTGGTTCCCTGTTGCGTTAAATACTCTACAAACCTCTAGTAAATGAGAGGAGTGGATATGTACTTAAACAGATCTGATACAGACAAACCTAAAACCCCTTGATCAATTTTACATCTGCAAAAAGCTATGAGAGATTAGACTCTATTAACTACATGGATACTGCACTATACAAGAGGGATAAATTACCATTTTTCTATTCTATTGCTATAGAAGAATGTATCCAGGTTCACTGTATTCACAAGAATAAATATTTTCATAGTCTCTTCAATGGTGATTCTAGCTTGATTTTTTTTTATTGAAAATAATTTCCAGTCATTTGTCTACCTCAGAATAAATGACACATGAAAAGGAACTGGCAAGATGGAGGCTTTGCTAAAATAAAAAATTATGCCTCCTTAAAATGTATCATTAATTAATGACAATGATACTTTTCTCTCCCTCTTGGCAACAGCAATGGGGAATCCACAGTATCTGTCTGATGCCAACCTATTAATAAATGATGTTCTCTTTTTGGGGTTAGAAATCCATTTGCTAAATATTAAAGAGAATTTAGTGTCAATTTTTTTTGATAGAGTGATACTAGTACGCAAGGATCACACTAAGAAACTTCATGTCCAGCCTGAAGCAAAACCTCAAAACCTCCGAGCTATTGGATTTCAAAATTCAGGATAAAATTGGTTCCATTTTTCACTAGATTAAATCATATTACTAGATCCCTTTATACCTAGTTAATACTAAACTCTAATCATTGTTGATGCCAGCAATCAGCTCATCTTAACAAGATCTAGTCATATGACAAATTAATTCCCTTTTGGGAGCATATTTTTTTCTGTAAACATCTTTACTGAGTATATAATTAATAGCAGATCAAATGGAGAGCAGATACAAACAAGAATATGCACACTGAAAACTGTGTGTGTTGTATTCCAATGTCCGTTTGTACAAGAAAATTAATGAAAACAGTTAGGAGATGATTTTATCAAATCTATGAACTCCTTGATAAAATGGATTATATAATCTGCAGAGTCTCCTGAGTAATGTAAGCAGCATTATGGCCCAGATTTTCAAATTCGCAAGCACACTTTTATGTGTATTCAACATACATATGTACAAATGCTTGCGCTTCAGGGATTGTATAGGCATACTTTGGACTCATGCCAGTGTACATATATGCTTATGTGCATATGCATGTGGGTCTATATGTTGTACTTAGGACCAGATCCTCAGGTGGTATAAATCAACATAGCTTCATTGACTTCAGTGAAGCTACACCCATTTACAACAAAACATCCATCTGCATTTGGTCAACCCTTTGTCATTTTCTGTATACAATTATTAAACAACTAAACAAGAAAAAAAAGTTGAGGTACCCATAATAATAAGACCCTAGAAGAGGTTTATGTGACTACACTGATCCAGTGGCTTAACCCTGCATTTAGGGGTTGTGGACACAGTTGCAGCTCTGAATAAAGTCTGTTATACTTTAGGCTTGGTCTATACTTAAAAGGTAAGTCAGCATAGCTACATTGGTCATGAGTGTGGGGAAAAACAACAATAACAAAACCCACTAAGCTATGCCAGGAAAACCCCCCCATGTAGATGCCCCTATGTCAATGGAAGAGGGCTTCTGTTGACGTAGCTAATGTTATTCAGGGAAGTGGTGTTCCTGTGCTTACAGAAAAAATGTTTTGTCACTGTAGGCTGTGTCCACATTAGAGAGCTATGCTGCTTCAATAACTTCCTTACTAAAAATCATCATTAGGTGCTACTGCTGCCCATAGGTTATTCTCACAAAAATACATACAAATTTACATGGTGCCAAAATATTAATGCCACAGTCACCTACATTACTCCCTGTTAAATTTCTTCTCTCTCCCATCATGATTAATCCTGTTGTAAAAATAGACACCTGTAAAATGCATTTCCTATGGTCTCACCACACCTCTTCAGCAGACTTACTGAGAGGTAAGACGCTCTGGCCAAACTCCAGAAGCTGAGATCCATTGCTAAAATGTGCTCATGTGTTAGGTCTTAACTAAAGTGATTTTGCTGAGGTGCTTTAGTATTGGACCTCAACAGATGTGCTTTGCTACTGCTCTGTGTCTCTGTACTGAGCCTCACTCAACCAAGGCACATTAACAAATGTGTACTAGAAGCAGATTAGAACTAAAGTCATTTTCCGCTGATCCAGACACATATGTATGTAGTGGCCCCAGCAATTCTTATACCTAAAAATGGAAATCCTAATGGTAACCACTATTAACCTATCTCATTGTGTATTGTCCTAAATTAGATGGAATGTACTTAGCACTCCACATTTACTAAAGCCTTGGCTACACTTGCAAATTAGAGCGCATTAAATCAGCCCCGCGCGCCCTAACTCCTGAGGTGTCCACACTGGCAAGGCACTTAGAGCGCCTGGACTCTGCAGCTGGAGTGCTCCTGGTAATCCACCTCCACGAGAAACATAGAGCTTGCTGCACCCTGTCTGAAATGCCAGGGTGTTAGTGTGGACGACGTGTTGCATTACTGTGCTGTGATTGGCCTCTGGAAACATCCCATAATCCCTTGATGTCAAGTGGCCACTCTGGTCATTGTTTTGAATTCGGCTGCAGGCATGCAGATATCCCCTTTCAAAGCTCCGTTTCTGACAGCCGGCATGCTTATCTGCTCCGGGACGCAAAGCAAACCATCACTGTGGAATGCTGCTGCAGCAGAGACAGGCGTTTGTGCGTGTGTGTGTGTGAGAGAGAGGCGAGGGGTGGGGCTTATGTCGGGGTTTCCCCCTTCCCCTGCTGCTGTCTGAACTTACAAGACAGCATGCTGACACACTTTCAGCCCCCCAAAACACACTGTCTCTCCCCCCACATACACACAACAAACTCCCTGTCACACTCCACCCCCACCATTTGAAAAGCACGCTGCAGCTCCTTGCACACTGGGATAGCTACCACAATGCACTGCATTGCAAGAGCTGCTAATGTGGCCACGCCATTGCGCTTGCAGCTGACAGTGTGAAAACACGGCAGCACTTTCCCTGCTGCTGTCTCCAAGGGCTGGTTTAACTCCTGGCGCTCTACATCTGCAAGTGTAACCATAGCCTAACATAGTTTGTTATTTGCTAACAAAAGACTATCTCCTCCAACATACTACATAAACAAAAGCAGCTGTGTCAGCAGTTGGAACACTTAAAAAAAAAGAGAGAAACAGATGTAGATATTTTATGCACTTTTAAATACAATATAGTAAAGGCTATTCATATTTTATAAAATTGCTCTAAAAATTACATGTGGTGTGACATGCTCTAGCTGGTAAACTGACGACTAGTCTCACCACGTGTTCAAACATAACTGCATGATCTAAGAACTTCTTTAGCCAATTACTTTAAGTGATTACATAAAAGGAAATAATTTTGTCAGAGAGAATTAAGCTTCTGAACTCCTATCTTTAGAATTATTGCCTTCTTTCCCTTGGATTAATTTATTTTACAATGCCACACATGACCTGCATATGTTTTAAAATTTAAAACTAGAGAATTTCAGTTTCAGAGTCTGCATGTTATTCAAGGAAGACAGATTTTATGCTGATCCATGCAGGGGCCTGTACTGGGACTAGTGCTGTTCAACATATTCATAAATTATCTGGAAAAAGGGGTAAACAGTGAGGTGGCAAAATTTACAGATGATACAAATTTGCTCAACAAAGTTAAGTCCAAAGCTGACTGCAAAATGTTACAAAGGGATCTCACAAAACTGGGTGGCTTGGCAACAAAATGGCAGATGAAATTCAATGTTAAATGCAAAATAATGCTATTGGCAAAATATAATCCCAACTATATATACAAAATGATGGGGGTCTAAATTAGCTGTTACCCATCAAGAAAGAGATCTTGGAGTCATTTGCAGTATTCTGAAAGCACTATGCTTTCACAGTACTGCAAATTTATGCAACTTTTTCAGTGTGCTTGTACCATCCTGAACTGCGGAACACTCATTCTCCAGCTTCAGAACACTTAAAAATCATCTCCAGTCATCAATGGGACAGATGCAACTGAATAATGTAGCTGTCCTTAACGTGCATCAAGACCATACCAGGGAACTAGATGTAAATAAGATTGGTGACAGTTATCCAGAAAGCTACAGTGAGATACCTAATGTCTTTAACCTGGGACATTAGTGAAGACAGCTTGTAGGTGATTGCAATGATGTTAATATACTATTTATATAGTATGTTAATATATTATTCATGATAATGCAATTATCAATTAATTAATAGTTCATAACAATTCAATCATTATTAAAATAGTAAAGATACCAATGATAGACAAATATTCAATAACTAGAATATGAAAAAAGTGTATAAATATGCTAAAAATAGCTTCCCCCCAAAACTGGCAGAGCCCCCTGCCCCCATTGCCAAACACACACACCTCTTCAAAAGCACCCACCAGCAAAACAAAAGTCAGCGCCTATGTTACGGTGTAAACTTGTCCAAAACAACGTATATACTTACTATCAAAAAATGGACGTAGGTACTTGTTGTATCCCTTCATTATTTTCTGTATAGTTGGAGGAAGAATTTCACCTTTTCCTTCAGCTGTGGACATTTTCATTAACCTAAAGGAAAAGAAGAACATGGAGGAAGAGTTTTATAGAGACAAAATTGAGTTTCCTGAAGCTGGTACTTGTGTCAGGGCCATAAAGGACTGCTTACCATTAGATTTACATAACATGAAATGTTTGTGCTTTTGTATTTCATAAAGCACATATCTATAGAAAAATAATATCCTAGAGAATGTCAGACTTCATGAATCTTGTTCAATCCCTAATTTGCAGAAACTACCATTTTTAGCCTTAATTTTTTTTTAACTGCACTAATAACTGAACAGCTTGTGGAAACAACTCAGGTTTCTCTAGCACTGAATGTGTAAAACATACAGTACCATATATCTTTTCTGGTTTGTTTGTTTTTGTTTCCTCATTTATAACAATGCTTCTTTTTATACAGTGAAATCCACTTAAAAGTCCCCAGGGAAAAAAAGACAGTTTTTTTAAAAAAAGGAATATTTTTATACACTAAATCTCTCAAAATCCTGCTGTTACTGCACCACATTTTAAAAGAGAGAGAGAGAGAAATAAACATGTTGGGTAAATGAAGTAGAATTACAGCGGACAGCTCCTATGTACACAAACTTGCTATGAGTACAATATAGGAAAGTAAAACAAATAAAACTAGTGGTATAACAAGATTATTCAAGTATCAGAGGGGTAGCCGTGTTAGTCTGAATCTGTAAAAAGCAACAGAGGGTCCTGTGGCACCTTTGAGACTAACAGAAGTATTGGGAGCATAAGCTTTCGTGGGTAAGAACCTCA